AATCCAGAAGTACGATAAGACATGGTGAGAGGGAGTGGAAGAAGAAAGTTTATTGAGTGCACTTTGGTGGCATAGGTGACAAAGGTATAAATGTCACTGATTTAACCTTTCATCTGCTTAGTCTGTCTGTTTAGGTTCAAGTTGTTTGGTGACAGCATGAGACATCATTTCATGGCCACAGACTAATTTCTATGGGTGGAAATCTGTCTGAGAGCGTGTTGCATCATCTGGAAGCAAGAGAAAGAAGCCATTTACAGGGCTGTGGGTGCTGCTGACACCTTTCACCCTCACTGTACAACATGCCTATTCTTTCGTGACCCCTGTGTCCAAATGTGGAACTGTCAATGAGTTGTGCAGCAATGTCTGTGTCAGGGAGGGCCAACACACAGAAGTAGCAATGTGTTAGGATGGCCAGCCAATAGAACCCCACACGTCTGTGTACTGTTCATTGTATGGGTCTGTGTGCAATGTTCTTTCCCTCTCAGAGCTCTAACATCAGTGGACATTGCATCCTCCTCTCTCACAGGTTGAGTCATTGAGCCTCCCCACTCTGTATGTGCTCACAGTCCTTTTCTTCCTCATTGTGCATTTTCGATTTCCAGCACAGTGGAAGGTGACAGCGAGTCCTCTTCAGCCAGTGGCTTATAACTTCAGCCTCAATGTGTTGGAGAGCGCCCAGACATCCACCTCTCCTGGTAGTCCTACCTGTAAACCCATAAGCTTCACACCTCTTCAAGTCCCCACCCAACCTGTCTACATGAGCCCACACGTCTCCACCTTTCGCACCCAGCCCCTGCCGTATGAGTTGACTGTGCCAGCTGTGGTCATACATTGTCTGCCACTTGAAGTGAGGGTGCTATTGAGTGTGGATGTAGCTTTCTCCCACATAATCCCGTTTCCAGTCATGCTTTACCATATCCTCCCTTTGCAGAAACTGTTGGCCTCCCTCCACAATTGCCATCTACCCTCCCACTACCCAATCCCAACCTGCAGCTCTCTGTCCCTCAGACTAATTGGCACAGTATCATTCCTCTGGCAATGGCTGCTCTTGCTCCCGCTCCCCGCACCCCCAACTCCTCTTCTTGATTCTTTGGATGGAGCTGATGGTTTAATTGTGTTCCCATGCCCTTGAGCACCTAACCTGATCAGCCTTGGATGAGAAGTGCCAAACCCCTGACTGCTGCCTGTACATCGTTCCAACAGCATTAGCCCTCCCACCTGGACTCACTGCTATGGAGCAAAATTACTAACCTTAACCTCCTGACCAAGGACACCTTGAGCCATATGCCTGATGGTGGCCTGTCCCTTGGACTGGTATTAGAGGCTGCCCCTGACTTACTGTGTAGGGACACCCCTGACTGACAACTGCCTCCATGGACTTCAGTGAGGATGGCTTTCCTAAGAATTTGGGCATAGCTGCACGTGCAGTGAGTTTGTCACATAAACTGCTGATACATGGGGCTGTGTGAGCTTGACATAGCACACTGCAGTACAGCAAGATGTCTACCCCTCTATCTCCTCTCCCCCCCAAATATGGAGAACTGCTGAGCAGAAATGCAAGCTGCCTGGTTTTGTGACTGCACTAATTGATATGGGGCACAAGAAAATGACAGAGGAGTTAAACAGGTATTTTGCACCAGTCTTTTGTGTGGAAGATACTACAAACATCCCATTAATACTAAAGAATACAGGGAAGAATTAAGTACCATCACCATCACAAGAGAAATAGTATTAGACAAAGTATTGGGGCTAAAGGCAGATAAGTCCCCTGGCCATGATGGTTTGAGTTGTAGAGGTAGTGGATGTATTGGTTGTAATTTTCCAAAAGTCTTGGATTCTGGAGAAGAACAGAGGAATGGAAAACTGCTAAGACCCCTTTTCAAAAAAGAGGAAAAGGCAAAAGGAGGGCAATTATAGGCCAACAAGCTTAACATCTATTGTTGGAAAATTATTGCAATCAATTACTACGGAAGTAAAAGCCAAACATTTTGAAAATCATAATCTAATCAAGCAGAGTCAGATGGCTTCATGAAAGAAAAGTCATGTCTGACTAATTTATTTGAGTTTTTGAATAAGTCTCAGTCAGACTGGATAGAGGGGAACCAATGGACTTCCAGAAGAAATTCAACAAGGTACCTCACAAAAGGTTAAGTCATGAGATCCCATGGAAGTAGTATATTGATGTGGATATGAATTGGCTAATAGGCAGGAAGCAACAAGTGGGGATAAGCATTTTTTTTTTCCTGACTTGTAACCTGTGACCAGTGGGGTTTCACAGGGATCAGTCCCAGGCTGCAGCTGTTTGCAATACAAATTAATGACTGGGAGGAAGAAAGTGCACTGTAGCCAAATTTGAAGATAACACAAAAAATAGGTGGAAAGGCAGGTTGTGAGAAGGATACAAACAATCTACAGAGAGATATTAATAGATTAAGTAAGTGGGCAAAAATGTTAGCAAATGGAGTATAATGTGGGAAAATGTGAAGTTGTTCATTTTGGGAGGGAGAACAAAATAGCAGAGTATTATTTAAGAAGAGAAAAACTGCAGAAAGCTGCAACACGGACTTGGAGATACTTGTGTACGAAACACAGAACGCTAGCATACTGGTAGAGCAGGTAGTCAGGACGGCTAATGGAATATTGATCCTTATTTTAAGGGGATTGGAGTATAAGAGTAGGCAAGTCTTACTGCGACTGTATAAGATTCTGATGAGACCACATCTGGAGTGAGCACTTTTGGTCTCTTTATTTAAGCAAGGATATTATTTCATTGGATGCAGTTCAGAGAAGGTTCCCTAGGATGATCCCCAATATAGAAGGATTATCTTATGAGCAAAGGTTAAACAGATTGGGACTCTACTCATTGAAATGTAGAAAAATGAGAGGTGATCTCACTGAAACAGATAGGATTCTTAAAGGGCTTGACAAGATAAATGTTGAAAGGATGTTTTCCTTCATGGGAGAGTCTAGGGCCAGAGGGCATAGTCTCAGAATAAACAGGTACTAATTTAATACTGAGATGAATAAAAATTTCTTCTTTCAGAGGATTGAGAGTCTTTGGAGCTCCTTGTCACAGAGCATGACAAGGCTATATAAGGTTGTGATAGTTCAATTCTTAATCAGTAGGGGAATCAAGGGTTATGGAGAAAGGACAGCAAAGTGGACATGAGGAATGTTGGATCAGACGTGATCCTATTGAATGGTGGAGCAATGGGAACAAGTGGCCTACTGCTGGCCTATTTCATAAGTTTTATGGGAAGGGAGGGAACTGGAGCGCTGGTGTCCAGATCATTTAGTTAACAAATGCAGAGCAAAAAGCTCTGAGCATCAGAGATGGTGAAACTTGAACCTACTCTGCTGACAAATCCTCTGGATTTGATAGCCTTCAGTTAGGGTTCTAAAACTGGGCTGCAGAGATAATGAATGCACTGATTGTGATTTTTCAAAATTCTCTAGATTCTGGAATGGCCCCAGCAGATTGGAAGTTAGCAAATAAAACACAGTTATTCAAGAAAGGAGAGAGTGCGAGGACAATACTATAAACCAGTGTACCATTCAGAAATATGCTAGAATCTATTATTAAGGAAGTGGTTTCAGGGTGCTTAGGAATTCATCATGTGATTAGGGAGAGTCGCCGTGGATTTATGTAAGGAAATTCTGTTTTTTATATGGGTATAACTAATACAATAGATAAATGGGAACTAGTGGATGTCATATATTTGGATTTTTAGAAGACATTTGTCAAGGTACAGCACAAAATATAGTTAGCGGAAGATAAGCATTCTTGTGGATGGGGATAATACCTTAAATTACATACAGGATTGATTAAAGAATAGAAAACAGTAGAAATAATCATGGCATTTTCAAGTTGGCACATTGTTGACGGTGGGGTACACAAAGATCTAGCGTCTCAGCAATTCATATGCCATATTAATAATCAAATATACTCAAATTTGCTTCTGAGTGGTAGGCTGATAGACAGGCTTTGGGCATTCAGGTGGCAGATAGACTAATGCGTGGACTTTGGTAAGATGAATAGAAAAGCAGAATGATTTTAAATGGTGAGAAAATATTAAATGTTGGTGTTCAGAGGATTTTGGTTGACTTTATACATGAAACTCAACATTAGCATAAAGGAATAGCAAGTGATTAGGAAGGCCAGTGGTTATTAGCTTTTATTGCAAGGAGCTTGGAGTCCAAGATTGAGGAAATCTTGCTGTAATAGTGAGTCCACACTGGACTACTATGTACAACATTACTCCTTTCACTTAATTCAGTATTTTTAGCTGCAAAGTGAAGATTCAAAACAAATTTACCTCTTTTGCGAGCCATGAGATCTCCATACTATAAATGAATTGGATATATATTGAAGTACGTGTACACCAGCAAGGGGTGCAATGAAGTTTCACTGGACTGATTCCTGGAATGAAAAAGAGGAGTGCTTGAGTACAGCAGGCTGATACTTTGTGCAGTTTAGAACAATGAGAGGTAAATCATGCTGAATTCCGACATCTTTGAATGGTGTAAATGATAAGGGGCTGGAGAGTTGAGAAGAACGGTGCTTCATTTCAGGATAAGGGGTCATTTAGGACTGGAAAGAGAAATTTCTGCACTCTAGTTTGTGAATCTTTGGATTTTGCTGCTGTGGAGGCTTATGAATACTGAGGTTGAAAAGATTCAAGATTCTGCTTTTTGGACTCTAAAGGAACTCTGGGATTATAGGATAAGAAAATGTGGTGGTGAGGGCAAAGAACACAAATGATCTCACGGAGCAGGCTCAGAATGGCCTATTCCTGTTCCCAACTCTTCTGTTACTTTCTTCCTTGAGCGAGTGATATTATCTTAAGATAAATGAACTTCCTTGCATTGCTTGGAGAGAATATGTTAGGAAAATAACAAAATAACTTGTAAAGTGTAGAACTCAGCATAATGTACTTGGTTCTGTGCGTTTTATACTGTCAATGCTTAACAGGAGAATTGCTGCTTTTGTTTTTAATTAGTTCCACCACGATTGCTGGAATTGCCTCTGCGGTCCTCCTATTCATTGTCATCGTTGGGATTCTGGTTTGTTGTTTCTTGTGTTCCTGCTGTTACCTGTACCGTCGGCGACAACAGATGAGGCTCCCCTTCACAGGTCAGTGAGCCAATCAGGGTATAACTTCACAGTTCAGTCAGTCAGACACATGGGTGGGTGAAGGGTACAGGTGTCAGATGAGTGAAAGGGTAGGGTGCCAGGTGGTTCATGTTGAGAGCTGCCAGGCAAGTGGGGTGGGGGTTACAGTTATAGTCCTTGGGTGGAGGGAGGGTAAGCTGCCAGGTGAATGAGGGGTAAGGGTACTTGGGGTTTGTGGGAGGGGTCTGCAAGGGGGTAGTTAGAACATTGGACTGTGTGTGTGTGAGGGTCTGTGGGGACCAGAAGTCTGTGAGGGGGAGGGTGGTTTAGTCAGGGACATTGGTGGTGAATACAGGGATGGGGAATGTGACAGCTTCTGAGTTATTCTGGAGATCGAGCAAGTTTTAATCTTCTAACTTCTCCTGGATAACTATTCAGACAAGTCAGTGCAAACCGTTTAAAGTCTCCAACTCTAACATTTCCAGAAAGTTCCATAGTTCGGCTAATCCCAATTGGATAGTCCATCTCATGGACAATTTCCATGGAGGAATATCCACACAATCCCAACGCACAACTCAATCTACTCTGCTGCTAAACCTAATACATCCCTGCCCATCAAACCACTCTGACTCCCCATGCATAATCTAACCTGACCCACCGACCAGAACTCAACCTGACCCCTGCCATCTCCCTAAAGGCACAACCCACCCTGAAACTCCATTCCACCAACATCCCAACCCAAGGCCCCCCACCAGAATCCAACATGATCCCAACCACATAACACAACACAACACAACCCCATCCCCCGACAACCCATCCCAAGACCCCCATGACAAATCACCCCCACTCTTTCCCCACACACAACCCAACTTCAAAGATCATAGAATCCCTTCAGTGTGGAAACAGGCCCTTCAGCCCAACAAGTCCACACGGACCCACACAGCATCCCACCCAGACCCATCCCTCTATAACCCATCTAATCTACACATCCCTGAACACTATGAGCAATTTAGCATGGCCAATTCACTTAGCCTGCACATCTCTGAATTGTGGGTGGAAACCAGAGCACCTGGAGGAAACCCACGCAGACACAGGGAGAACGTGCAAACTCCACACAGATAATGGCCCAAGGGTGGAATTGAACCCACGTCCCTGGCACTGTGAGGCAGCAGTGCTAACCACTGAGCCACCGTGCCGCCACTGAGCCAACTTGACCTCCTGCCACCTAAAACCCACCCCGACCAACCTCACCACAACCTATCTGAACCCACAACCCACTCATCTGACAACCCCCATGACATGATAGCCCCAATCCCATGATTACTCCTCCAAGAAAACCTCAAGACTGATCTGGTTACCCTGATATGACTTGGCCATGCAGACTAACCTGACTCCAGTCCACAGCCTGACTCCATACTCCAGCCTGACCCCTGTCCCTCACCTGACTCTTGTCCCCCACTGACTTTTGTCCCCAGCCTGATTACACCCTCCGCTGATGTGACTACCCTCCCCAACCTGATTATCCCCTTCCTGAGCTGACTAACCTCCCCGAACTAACTAACCCTCTCCCTGAGCTAACTACCTCCCTCTCCCCGAGCTGACTAGCCCCTCCCCTAACTGGATTACCCCTCTCCCTGAACTAATTACCCCTACTATGAGCTAATTAACCTCTCCCTGGGGTGACTATCCGTCCCTAAACTAACTACCCCTTCCTCAAGCTGACTATCCTCACCCCAAGCTGACTAGCCCCTTTCCTGAGCTGAGTGCTGCATGGCAGTGTGAACTGTGAGGAGGATGCAGAGATGCTTCAGTGTAATTTGGACAAGTTGAATGAGAGGGCAATTGTATGGCAGATGCAGTGTAATGCAGGTAAATATGAGATTTTCCAGTTTGAAGGCAAAAACAAGAAGGCAGATTATTTTCTGAATGGTAATAAGATTGGAAAGGGGTAATGCAACGAGACTTGGGTGTTCTTGTACACCAGTCTCTGCAAGTAAGCATACAGGAGCAGGAGGTGGTGAAGAAGGCAAAGAGTGAGAGGATTGGAGTAGAGAAGCAGGGATGTCTTACGACGTTTATACTGGACCTTGATGAGTGCACACATTGAGTATTGTGTACAGCTTTGGTCTCCTTATCTGAGGAAAGATTTTCTTGCTGTAGAGGGAGTACAGTAAAAGTTTACCAGACTAATACCTGGGGTGGCAGGACTTATGTATGAAGAGACAGTGGATTGGGTAGGACTATATTCACAGGGATTTGGAAGAATGAGGGGTGATCGCATAGAAATCTATAAAATTCTCACAGCACTAAACAGGGTAAATGCAGGATCAATGTTCCCGAGGACAGGGGAGTCCCAAACAAGGAGTCACAGTTTAAGGATATGGGATAGGCCATTTAGGATTGAGATGAGGAAAAAATTCTTCACCCAGTGGTGAGTCTGTGGAATTCTCTGCCACAGAAAGCAGTTGAGGTCAAAACTTTGCATGTTTTCAAGAAGTTCGATATGGTTCTCAGGACCTAAAGGGTGTGGGGACAAAGTGAATAAAGGGACTGAATTTGTATGATCAACCATGATCATATTGATTGGTGGATCTGGTTTAGGACTGAATAGCTTACTCCTGAACTTTTTTTTTATGTATGTTTCTATGACTTACCCTCTCCCCAGGCTGACTATCCCCGACCTGGCTACCCACTTGACTATACGTTCGCCCACCAACACACCTTATCCATCTCATTCATCCAATGCACTTGCCGTACTCACTTCGCCCATCTCTCTCCCACCCATTTACTCCTGTACACATTTACTCCTGTACACATTTACTCCTGTACACATTTACTCCTGTACACATTTACTCATGTACACATTTACTCCTGTACACATTTACTCATGCAGATAACATACCCATTCACCAACTAACATTCAAAGACTGGAACTTTAAGCTTTACATTCAGCAGCTAGCCATTAACAGGTTTTCCCGACCCTACTCCAATCTGAAAGAGTTCCCTAATAGATGCTGCATGTTTCTGTCACAGCTGGGATCAAAAGATGCCAGGGAAAATATGCAGCATCATTGGCACAGGAAATTTCTGACCACAGTGTCAGTCTGACCATCATTAATAATGTGTATAGCTGGAGGAACACAGCAGGCCAGGCAGCATCAGAGGAACAGGAAAGTTGATGTTTTGGGTTGGGTCCCTTCTTCAGAATTGACCATAAGATAGTAGGAGCAGAATTAGGCCATTTGGTCCATTGAGTCGGCTCCACGATTTGGTCATGGCTGATACGTTTCTTAACACAATTCTCCTGCCTTCTCCCGTAACCCTTGATCCCCTTGCTAATCAAGAAGCTATATATCTCTGTCTTAAATGCACTTAACGACTTGGTCTTTGCAACCTTTTGCGGCAATGAGTTCCACGGACTCACTACCCTCTGGCTGAAGAAATTACTCCTCATCTCAGTTCTAAAGGCTGGTCCCTTCACTCTGAGGCTGTGCCCTTGAGTCCTGGGTCTCATTCTAGTGGAAACATCTTCATCACTCCCACTCTATCCAGGCCTCTTGGTATTTCAATGAGATCCCCACCTCATACTTCTAAACTCCATCGAGACACAGAGTCCGCAACTGCTTCTCATATGACAAGCCATTCATCTCTGGGATCATTCTTGTGAATCTCCTCTGGACCCCTCCAACGTCAGCACATCCTTTCTTAGTTACATGGCCCAAAACTGCTTGCAAGTTAGGAGCAGGGATATAAGATAACAAGATGTGGGGCTGGAGGAACACAGCAGGCCAGGCAGCATCAGAGGAGCAGGAAAGCTGACGTTTCGGGTCTGGACCCTTCCTGCTCCTCTGATGCTGCCTGGCCTGCTGTGTTCCTCCAGCCCCACACCTTGTTATCTCAGACTCCAGCATCTGCAGTTCCTACTATCCAGGAGAAGTATGCCATTCGATCCCTTGAAACTGTTCCGCCATTCATTACGATCATGGTTGATCTGATTGTGGCTGCAACTCCACTTTCTTGCCTACCCTCAGTAACGTTTGATTCCCTGTAATTGAAGAATATATATACCTCCAACTATTCAATGAACCATCTCTATACTGCTGTCTGGAAAAGTGAGTTCCACATACTTCCTTAGAGAAAAAGCTTATCATCTTCATCTTCAGTGGGAGATTCCATATTTTTAAATTGTGCCCTCTAGTTATAGCTTCTCCCATAAGAGAAATATAGTTTCAGCATTCACACTGTAAAATCCCCCTTGTGAACATCTATGTCCAAATAAGATCACCTCTTTATGCTTTTAAGCTCCAGAAGATACAAGGCCATTAGGTCTGGGGACCTTGTCAGCCTTTAGTCCAATTAGTTCTCCCAGTACCTTTGCTCTAATGATTGTGATAAGTTCAATTTCTCCCTCCCTTTTACCCCTTGATTTTCAGCCATTCTTGGGATGGTTTCTCTCTCTACCACAGTGAAGACAGATATAAGATACTTGTTCAAAGACTCTGCTTTTTTTTTTGTTTCCTGTTATCAATTCCCCAGTCCCACCTTTTAATGGACTAATGCTCACTGTTTTTCCCTCCAGTTTTAAAATTCCTTTTGAAACTTGTATTGTCTGTTTTTATATCTCTTGGTAGTTTTCTCTCATAATCACCCTTTTCTAGTTGCTAAAATTTGTCCATTGTTCTGACCTACTACCACTAACCTTTGCAGCATTGTACACCTTTTCTTTCAATTTGATACCACCCATAGCTTCCTTAGAAAACTACAGATGGTGATTGCTTCTGCTAGATTCTTTCTTCCTCAATGGGATATATTTTTGTTGAGAGTTATGAATTATCTCCTTGAATGTCTACCATAGCTTCTCTGTCATCCTCCCTTTTAACCTGTTCTCCAATTCCATTTTAGCCAATTCTAACTTCACACATTTTTGGTTGTTTCTAGTTGTTATGGACACGCTCTCAAACGGAATGTAAAACTTCACCATGTTATGTTCACTGTTCCCTAGAGGACCCATTATTATGAAGGCATGAATTAATCCTACATCTTTTCATATTACATCTTAACTCCTATTTAAGATGAAGATGTTAAGTTTCTTGTCTGAAGAAGGAAAATCTGTGGAACTCACTTTTCCAGACAGCGGTAGAGATGGGTTATTGAATACTTTTAAGTTGGAGGTAGACAGATTCTTCAATTACAGTTCAATTCCATAAACTGATAGGTTCCAGAATGTTCTAAGAAAGCTACTTCTTCCTTTTGCTTTGTCCAATTGATGTGACAATTAAAGTTAGCCACAATGAATCGCACTACCTGAGGTGACCGTTAGGTTAAACTACCACTGCTCTGGTGTTGGGGGTGGGGCATGTGTGTGTGTGTAATTATCAGTGTATGTGTGCAATTGTGTTGTTGTGTAATTGTCAGTATATGTGTGTAATGTATTTCATTCTTGTGTGATATTTGTTCTAGGTCACAGGGAGGAGACTCGCAGTTTCCCAATGCAGCCGGCCAATCCGTCGAACATGCCCTCTGGTGTATACCCTCCGTATCCAACAGCTCCTGCCTACGGTGTTCCAGGTAATTTTTAATTGATACGAGCAATGAGTTCCCAACCTTTTACTTAATTAAAATGCTTTAAATCTCCCAGTTCTAATGAAATTTTATCGATAAGAAAGGTCAGCTTTTTTCTCCTTCCACAGCTGCTGCCAGATCTGCTACATTTCTCTCGCATTTTCTGTTTTTATTTCTGATTGCCAGCATTTGCAGGATTTTGTTTTTGAATTGAAGTGAGCCAAGTTGAATCTAACTTTTACGGAAAAAAGAGGTAGAACTGGGAATAAGACAGGAGCTGGCAGCTTTTTATTTTTTGTTATAGGTCTCCCCTGCATTAGTACACTGTTCAGCTTTCACTGCATGTAAAACTCAGACAAACAAAATTCAGAGTGAGTGCAAGGAGGAATATTTGATATGTTACTTGATATGTATAAGCACCGTGACAACTCCAATTAGACCCCACCATCTCTGCCTTCCTCAAGGACGATTCCCTTTGCCACTCTTTAGTTCGCACCGCATTCCCCACCAACTACTCCAACCTGCCCGGTACCTTCCCTGTAACCATAAAAGATGCAACACCTGCCCACACACCACTTCCCCACCTCCATCCAGGGCCCTAAACAGTCCTTCCAAGTGAGATAGAGCTTCACCTGTATCTTCACCAACCTAATCTGTTGCATCTGGTGCTCCCAATGTGGTCTTCTCTATATTGATGAGACCAAACATAGACTAGGTGACCATTTCGCCGAGCTTCTCTGCCTGGCTTGTAACGGCCAACCTAACCTCCCGGCCACCGCCCCACTCCCCCTCCATCATGTCTGTCTTCAGCCTCCTCCAGTGTCGCAGCGACACAGAATGCAGATTTGAAGAACAACACCTTATCTTCTGCCTGGGCACCCTAAAGCTCAGGGGACTCCAACTTCAAATAGCCTTCCCACCCATTCCCCTGCTTCCCTTCTAGCCCCACCTCCTCCCTTCCATTCCACTTTCTGACCCTCCCTTCCAGCCACCAACTGGATTCATTCCTCCCATTGGCCAACCAGGTTGTACCTGTCACCAGTGTTCACCTATCACCACCATTCCACTTCCACCCCTCCCCTACTTTGTCTGCAGCTCCCGCTATCCCCACATCTAGTCCTGAAGAAGGGTAATACCCAAAAAGTTGACTGCTCCTTTCCTCCAGATGCTGCCTGGTCTGCTGTGTTCTTCCAGCCTCCTGTGTGTCCAGGGGTGTGAGATTATGTGGATTAACCATGGGAAAGGGTAGGGTAGTGGGTCTGGGTGGGATGCTGTTTGGAGGGTCCGTGTAGACTCAATGGGCCAAATGGCCTGCTTCCACACTGTAGGGATTTTATAATTCCATGATTCTGTGAATTGCAGCATTAACAAGGCATTTAAGATGTTACAGCTCCCCTTAATTGATAATTTGCCGCTGCGTAATGAAGAACTCAGCTCACTGCTCGTGCAAAATATGAAAGATACAGCGAGTTTCTCCCATCATCGCGATGGGCTGCAGCAGACTCCTTGCGCGATTCTGCCACAAATCTCGCCATAGCCCACGTTACTCAAGCCCCAAAAGACTCCACCTAAGATGTGTATTTAGAAAGGGTGTGAATGCAGAATGGAGAATAGCTGCTGCTCGAAGCAAAAAGAGAGGAAAATGAAAACCAGTAAAGAGGAAGAAATCAAATAAGGCTAAGTGTTGTAGTTTGAAAAGTTGAACTGAAGTGTTGAGTCTGGGAGGCTGAAAGTGCCAAATCAGAACACCAGGTGCAGTTCCTCAAGCCTCATTCAAGTTTCACTGGAACCCTGCCAGAGGGCCCAAGACAAGGATCTTGGCATGAAAGCAAGTTGGAAATTTAAACTGAGCGGCAACTAGAAAGTGCAAAATCATGCTTGCGGACTGAATGGAGCTATCTGGAGCCTTAACCACTCTATCATATCACTCTGTCCCCTCACCCATCTGCCAATCTCACCCCTCAACTACTCACCTTGCACACTTCTCTCCTTGTCAAAAAGGCTTCGGACCATTAAACCCCAGGATACTGCAGTCAGTGCCATATAAAGGGGGCATGGTGTGTCCTTCAGTGTTGTTTCTGCACTGGATGTGCTGGAGGGCTTTTTGAACAGTATACTCAGCATTGACCAAATCAGGTTTGGAGTTTCAAGGAAGAATAGATAAAAATAAAGCAGTGGCAGTCCAGAGTGAGCTTGGGAAGTTTGTGAATGAGGGAATTTGATGCAGTGAAGGAGAAAATCCAGTCTAAGTAACTGGCAAATTAAACACCAAAAAGATTAGCACTAAGAAGTAGCAGAGTGTTGATAGAGGCAAAATGTTCAGAGATTTCAAAAAGCATCGGGGGAGAGAAAATGTGGTGATGGGGGAAAGAGATGGCTGAGATGACAGAGAGTGCAGCAAGAAGGGAGACATGATGAGGGGGAAAGAGAGGTGTAGTGAGACGGGGTGTGAAGAAAGTAGCAAGACTGACATGTGTGAGCGGCAAGAGGAGAGGTAGAGGGAAGGGATAGAGTGACAAGACAGAATAGACAGAGAACAATGAGATGGAAGAGAGAATAACGAGATGGAGGAGAGCAGCAAGTAGGAGGAGGGAAAAATTGCAAGATGGTAGAAAGAGAGAAGGTGGTGAGGGGATAGAGAACTATGCGAGAGGAAACAGAGAGAGGCAAGAATGGTGAAAGAAAAGACTGTTAAAGTGTAGGAAGTGGCTGGGACGAAGGGATTCTGGGGAACAGCGAGAGAGCGAGTGTAGTGAAGGAAGAGGGAGGGTGATAAGAGGGAATGTAAAAGGGTGACAGAAAGGGGAGAGAGACAGTGACAAACAGGAAAGGAGAGAAAGGGGAGGGGGAAAGAATGGTGAAAGCAAAAAGAGGGGAGAAAGATAGCAAAGATAGCAACAGAAAGGGAATGTGCAGCAAGGGAGGAAAATGTGGAAGAGCGCGGTGAGAGGGGAAAATACACTGCGAGAGGGGAGGAAGAGCAACAAGAGGGGGAGTATAGCAAGAAGAAAATGAGCACGTGCAGAGAAACAGCAGCAAGAACGTGGGAAGAGTGTGGCAAGAGGGAATACAGAAAGCAGTAAGAAGGGAGAAAGCATGATGAGGACGTGAGAAAGGGGAGGAGATTTATTAGGTGAATGGAGCTATCCACTCAAAAATGTAGACATCACGGGCAAACAGGTAAGTGATTGGTTGCTGAGTAGTTTGGATGCTGAATATTTTGTAATTTTGTCACTTCTGTAATGTATCAATTCAGAGGACGGAATGTGACATTACCCTTTAAAGTTATAAATTGATTAGTTGATGAGTATTTGTTGTAAGGGTTTGTGTACAAATAGCTAGATTAAATTACTGCTTTTTAAAGGAGGAGTGTGAACAGAAATCTCTTAATTGTTGAAGTTATAGCACAGGGAAAGGCTGAGTAATTCCATGTTTCAGTCTGCAATTTATAGGGGTCAGTTTAGCTCAGTTAGTTTGCAAAGCAGTGTGATTGCAACAGTGTGGGTTCAATTCCCATCACTGGCTGAGGTTATCATGAAGGACTCTCATTCTCAACCTCTCCCCTCGCCTGAGGTATGGTGGCCCTCAGGCTAAATCACCACCAGTTGTCTCTCTCTAATAAGAAAGCAGCCCTATAGTCTGATAAGATTATGGTGACACAAAAAAAAGTAAATATCCCAAAAGGAAGCTTAAGGCTCGACAGGAAAACTCAGTTGCATGGAACACCTATCCGATTGATTGATTTATTTACTTATTGTCACGTGTACCTAAGTACAGTGAAAAGCTTTGTTTACAATCAGTACAGGCAGATCATTGTAAGCAAGGACGTACAGATCATAGGGTAAAAAAAAACTGGACAGAGGCATACAAGTTACATCGCACAGTGAGTGGGCTAGGCAAGATCAACATTAGCAAGATCAGCATTATTTGAAGCTGGAGAGTCTATTCATCATTCTAACAGGGAAGAAACTGTTCCTGAACCTGTGCGTGTGTTCAGACTTCTGTATCTTCTGCCTGACGGAAGAGTTGAAGGAGATCATTGCTGGGGTGAGATGGGTCTTTGATGTTGGCAGCCTTTCTGCAGCAAAGGGCCGTGTAAATGGAGTCCATTGATGGAAGGCTGGCTACTGTGATGCTCTGGGCTGCGTACACCACCTTCTGTAGTTACTTATGGTCCTGGGTGGAGCAGTTGCCATACCAGGCCGTTATGCACCCGGACACTGTGCTTTCAATGGTGCATCTGTAGAATTTGGTGAGGGACCTTATAGACGTGCCAAATTTCCTGAACTGCCTGAGGAAGAAGAGGCGCTGTTGTGCATTCTTGACTGTCACATCTACATGGGATATCCAGGACAGGTCGTTAGTTATCATCACTCCTAGGAACTTGATGCTCTCCACCCTCTCAACCCCGATGGTGCATCCTTGGGGGGGGGGCTGTCCACACTCTCAACCTCAATAGCGCATTCTTTGGGGGTTCCATGGGGGAGGAACAGTTGTCCATCTTCACTGATTGTGGTCTGTGGGTCAGAAAGCTGAGGATCCTACGGCAGAAAGGGAATCATTGATGCTTCATAGAATCCCTGAAGTGTGGAAAGAAGCCATTTGGCCCATCAGGACTGTACTGACCCTTTGAAGAGCACCCCATCTTGCCCTGTTTACCCCCACCCAAAAGCAGGTTATAGCTGAGTACTCGGTATCAATTCCTCCTATATATTATCCTAATACTTCAACTTCCTATAAGAAAAAATCAGCCCCTTTTTGCCAGAATCATGATGTGTGACAAATATCTCCATTCTGAGCACATTCCTGGAATGCCTTGATTAATGTATTGGAGAAGTTGGAAGTAATTTATTGTAGGTGCTGGGAGTAATTTATTGCAGGCGCTGGATGTAATTTATTAGAGGTGCTGGCCATAATTTAGAAACACCAAAACTAGTTTGACAGGAGTTCCTAAGTCATATTTACAAAGTGGTTCTAAGCTGTAAACATCACCAAACATGAGGGAA